AAAAAAGGCGAAGGACAGTAACCGGAAGAAGGAGCAGCCGAGAAATTTGTTGCAGAAGAACAGTAAAAAGACTTGTAGGAGAAATGCCAAACGGATTTTTCATGCCGACAGAAATTACAAAAGTGCAAGAGGTATATATTCAAATTTTTCATTAAGACCACTTGTTTGAAAGGTATTTGTTTTTGTTTAAAATTTTTGTTTTATTTGCAGCTTTGGTATACAAATGTAGACAATTTTAAGAAGTAGCTAAGAACATCTGTAGTTAGGCTAATATTGGAAGTAATTTATTTAATTTACAAAAACCATGACTTTTAAAGGATATCTACGTAAATTAAACAAGGGATTTCGAAGTTCTAGGGCGGCGCTACGTACGTAGAGGTATGTTTAAATGAACCCTTTAAACACCAGAACAAAACAAATCACTTGGAATCTTGAACAGAGCCGCAATTCTTCAAATTCCGGCTCTTCTTTTCTATTTAAAAGCTTTGATATGCGAGTTAGTTGTGAGAAGAAACCAAGTATTGACCATACTCTTTCGAAATGTTATCTTGTAACGTAGTTTTCTGTTGCAGTGAGATGTACATTCGTAACTTTGTTCACGTGTTCCCCTGCAGTCGTATGTAGTCAGACTACTACTTCTTCCTTAATTTCGTCTTTAGCTGATGAGTTAACAGGTTTCTGGAAATGTTGTTACTTGTTGTAAACGATAGCTATTTGCCTTTGCGGGCGGCTCAATGTCTGATAACTGCATTACGTTTGATGGTTTATTCAATATGGAAACTCTTTCGGCAAAAAAAATTATAAAAAATTATTTGTAAAAGTTAAATCACTTTTAGAATGTTTAATTTCTGACATTTCGGTGGAAACTTTATTGATCTACATTCCTTTTCATAAAATATCTAGTTATGGAAGTGTCTGATCAGACTGTCTAATGTGACCTAGCAAACTTCCATTACTGTGAAAGAATTAAATAAAGGCGATACAACAACACTTGCACTTGTCATTTAAAGAGAATTGACATATTTAAAATTCTTAGGAGGTTTTCTTTGCTGAAAGGCAAAATAAGTGGTTGTTTGGACATGTATTTGAAATGACTATTAAATACTTTACAAAACAACTAAACATAAGTTAAACACTTCTAAATACAGATAGAATATACCAGTAAATAATCCTTACAGTTACATAAGAGTTATCATGCTGAGGAAAATGGAAAGATGAAATTCTGAAAGGTTAAAATGGTTTCGAATCATCAACAAAAAAATATTAAGTGAGATCAATACTTAATAAGAGATTGCAGAAGGTGATTAAGTCAAGAATCACCTGATGAAGACACGTAGTCGGCTTCACAATCAAAGTATTTTTCTGAACTGTAATCCAGGTAACGAGCACATTTTTCCAGCTGTTCAATGGCAGTTCGGATTGTACTTTGGCTAGTTGCCCCCCAGTCTGCGAATCTATAATGTTTAGCGTCATTCCTCTAGCAACACCTATTTTTCGCCCAAACGTTATGAGTAGTCGCTAATTTGTTTATATAATTTATTTCACTAAATGGAGAAAACCTCAGCAGTTGAGTTTTTTTCCTTCCCATTTTAAATTATGTAGAAAAATCCGGTTTCAAAAATTTTGAGTTTTTGGATAGAACTGTAGAAAGAAACAAACTTGAGAAACGTGGCAAATTTACAAAATAGTCGCAGAAGGTGTACATAACCGTAAACGTTTGCTGGCTCACAGTTCAACAGTACTCCAAGTTCTGAAATAGTAAAAGTTGTTTTCAGACAACTATAATTGGCTTACTCCAAGTTCTGAAATAGTAAAAGTTGTTTTCAGGCAACTATAATTTCTCCAATTAATTTCTGCCGTAAAAGTTAGTTTTGTTCTCTTACCGTGAAGATCTTTCAAGTTGCAATTCCTAAGACTTATATTTACTTGAGGGAACCCGAAAACCTAGAAAATAGAGCTTGAGCTGTTTCCAAATCTATTTTAGATCAATTCTGTACAGAATAAGCAAGAAGAACTGGTGTCTTTTTACAAAAGTTCATCGAAACGAAAGTTTTGTAATACTTGAGACAGACAATTTTTAGCTTTGTTACAGATTGGTACTGAAGAAGTGAAAAGAACTTTTCTTCAAGCAGCAATAAACCTTTGCTCGTTGTCGAAGAAAGTCGATAAACTGTATACGCTCTGAGTTGTACAAAAGTTGCGACCACAAATAATTGTTGAAGTACTCCTGAAAAGATAGTTGTTGAAGACCAGTTCTCGTCGAGAGCTCTAATTCGAGTATATTAAAGCCCATTGCTGCAAGCTAAACCTTTATTCCATCTACACATTCTTTTGCCAATTTTATGTCGTTGTCAAAACTGGAATCAGTTTCTTGCCTGTTGGCATACTTTACCAGGTGATCCAAGTACTGAAAAACAGTTAGTTGCCAAAAGATAATCGCAGAAGGAAGTAGATTGAAAGATAAAAAAACAGAGACTTGATTGAGAATATCTTCCACGGTGAACTGCGCTGGTATGCGGTGCAAGGACTTCTCCCCCAAAATTTTTTCTTGATCATATATCAACAAGCGCTCAAGCTCGTCTGTTAGTTCAAGCTGAAACCCAAAATTCAAACACAGTTGTGCAGTTTTACTGCCATTCAAAACTGAATCGTTCACTTGCCAAACTTCTAAAGTTTCTTCAAATACCAACTTCAATGTCATCTACACTGACTGGTTTTTGACGATTTTCTCCTTCCGTTTGCCCACAACTTTCAGCTGGTCTTATACGGCTCCCTAAAGATGCAGTTTTTTAAGCATAATTCTACCACTAAATCACCACCTACTGCGCTTTAGGAGAAGAAATTTTTCCATCAGCATCCAGGTTCGATGAGAAATCTTGGCTTTTATTTAAATCCCCAAACATTATACAATCATCTGTTCACATCAACCTAGCTCATTACCAGCCAAGTTTTTTGTTTCAGGAAACTGAATCCCTTAGGAACATTTACAAAAACAAGGTACAACTTCAAGACCTTAGTTTTCAAAGCATTAAAACGTCCCTACGTAGATGTGAGTCATCCTCGTTCCCCACTTCGAACTGTCTCATTTCTCACTTGCTTGAAAAATCCACTTTTTAAGAATGAATACTAGTTCTACTAGCAAGTCAATAAAGTCCCTTTGAACACGATCAAATAAAACGATAGTCAAGTGTTCTGTAATTTACTTTTAGAGGTGTCTCGACGATTACTTTTCCTTCTAAAACGACTTCCGTAGCTGACTCGTTGTTTCCACTCCTGAAAAGAACCATCGGAAATATACTTACTACAATTAGACCTTTTTTAAATTGTTTTTTAAATTGGCCACTAAACCTTAATAAAAAAAAGTACATTGAAAAAATGAATTTAACTTTCACCGTAGCTTTGATCTTCACAGGGACTAAAGTCCCGTTTTTACTACTAGGAACAGATAACTATAATTGTTAAACAGTTAATGATAAATCTTTTCTAAATCCATTTTTAAAACAGTATTCATAAAACTTACTTTGAGCAAGCTATATTACTCCGACTTGCTTGATTTACTAGAGCAAAAATATTTCAAAATTTTTCTGGCCCGTTTGCGCCAGTACAGCGCACCAGTTCTCCTACTTCTATTTTTATTAAGTTTAAAATCTAACAATCACCTCAGCTATTTTTGCATTTTTCTCTGTAAACGGAAGTACTCGTTCTTTAAGATCAACTTCCCGAATTCGCGTATCAAACCTTGAGCTCCAGCCCTGAAAACTAGCTAACCTATAGGAATAATTATGAGGCGACAAATGTGTTAAATGAAAATTAGAAATTCAATTGAAGAAAACTAGATCAGATAAATAAATTTGGACTTTTTACAGACAGAGCAGTAGCTGTAGAAATAAATAAGCAGCAGCACTGTTAAAATGCCGACGTCTGCAAACATCCTCATTTACTTTTTCTGTCCCGGCTTATACAGGCAGAACAAATATGAAGTGATAAAAAACAGTTGAAAATGATTTGACCATATAATGGATCACATAGACTAAAGAAGCATCCGGAAGTTCCTCAACACGTAAAACTTTTGCATCATAGTAAAGGCCATTCCAATCCTTGCACAGAATCTTGGTGTTTGGAGTATATGTTAAAGTTCTTTGTATCGTCCCGCTAAAACGATCAGCATTACCAGCTGTAACAGCAAATTCTACAGTTCTTCGTCTCACTTTTTTTCTTGCCATTTTTTTCTTCATCTTCGTCTTACTAAAGTATTTGACCTAAAAAATAATGAATTTTGGCTGTATTTTTAAAGATGAGCTTCGCCAAAGTCAAACCGTAACAACGATGCGTAAATTACTATTGTTACGTTGGTTGAGGGAACTAAATTGAGTACTTATCTTTGCACGTAGGCAAAGATGAATACCCAAAAGCAACATCAACTACTACCCGTAAATATAAGCTTCCTCTTTGGAGAGCATTCATTCAAGAGTGCATAGTTCATTTTTAGGAACAAAACAAAATTTTGAAGTAGAAAAATAATTTTCAGGAAATAAAATTCCTCAATGTTATTAAAAATTTTGATGAAACGCTGCGGAATTAACACCGTATTTCGGTTCAGTAATCTTTTAAAATGTAATTATCTACTTCCTACTGTTTTGTATAGCAGAATTAGACCTATATTACAAAAAGAGTCTGCAAATTCAAATGTTTGTGAGGTTTAAAAAAAAGTTCATCAGGTAAACAATCTTATCAAACCAACATTTTTGTAACTTTGAACAGTTTTTGTGCACTTTTGCTACAAATTTCTTTTTTGTGACCACTTTGGCTTTCAAAATTTAACTTATATCAAATATATCAGAAAACCTTATATCACTTATATCAGAAAACAAAACAATAGAACTATTTTGTTTTCAAAAAATATTATTGCATCACATTAACAGATTCAGTGTTTTCTAGAATTGTAACATTGACAGACGAATGTGGATTAAATGAATAACCAAAAATTATTAAATACAAACAAAACCAAATACAAATTCTTATACAGAAAAAATAAAATGGTTATTGCATATAAAAGAAGACATAGTGAAATTGTTCATAAAAATGGTTGCTACTGGTTACTACAGCTTAAGTAAACTGTCTGTCACCATCTCCCAAAGTCTAGGCACAAGTTTTGGTGTCATCAATCTTCTACGGCAATCTAAAAAATTTCTTATCGACGAAGACAACTTCTCAATACAATCAAAGATCAAATATGAAACTTAAAATTTTAGCAGTGAAAAATTAATTGAACATCTTTAGCCTATTGTTCAAAAATCTTTTGTAAATAAATGCTGAAAAAAAAAAGAAACGAATAATCCAAAGAGGTCTTGAGGTAGAATGTAAAGTCATATTCACATATTAAAGCTAGCGAACAGTAACCAAAAAAAAAAAAAAAAACAGGAAGAAGATTAACCAAATAAAAAAACTTTGTTATTTCTGAAAAGTGAAAATATGTATTTATCAAAAAAGACTGTCTACATATTTTCCATTAAACACTCAAATACGTAAATCAGGCAACAAATTTAGATTCAAGAATCAAGGCGAGCAGAAATAGTTGGTGGTACAATCTCAATGAAGAATACAATTCTCTAACCAAATCAAAAATGCTTCCAACAGTTAACAAATTTATTGTAAAATTTCATTATAAAATTTTTAAAAATTTTTAAAAAATGCAGTAAAAAAAACCTTTTTTTAAAGTTCATTAAAGAATTTTGAACTACTATGATGTGTGTATACAAAGTTTTAGGACAAATAAAGATCTTAGAGCTATGGAACAAAGAAGTAGTGGAGAAAATTGAGACGGCATTATTGCAAATGTGACAATCCGAACAGTTCAATGATGTCAAAAAGCAAAGACTCTTAAGAAAAAATAAAGTAAGCTCAAATTCAACTCAGCAGTTATTGACAAACATTCGAAAAATTAATTATTGGTCAAACTGTATAAACTGACAACTGGAATACTACTTAAATTCATTCTTTAACAACTGCAAATCATTCTTTCGACAACAATTCGCAACGTTCGCAATGCAGAAATATTGTGTCGATTAGCTGTTAGAGTATCGTCGAAAAAAAAAATGAAGAAACTGATTCTTGTTCAATTAGCAGGCCTTGTATGAAGATATAATGGAGACAAGAGAACTTCAGGTTAAGCTGTTACGTTTTAAAGACGTCTTGATGTAAAAAAAAGTTACTTAACTGGTATTCAAGAAAAAAGTTGTAAGAAGATTTTGTTGGATTTTTGAGCCGACAACTGGTTTTGTTGACTCAAGGTATCCTACAATCAAACAAGAGAACTTCTATAGCTGGTAGATGCGCACAAAGCACAACTTGAGCAGAAGTTCAAAAGGGCTTTTTTTCCGTACTGTTCAAAAACGACTTTAATTAGCTTCGCAAAAAGAATATGTGGTAAAAAATTGCAGAAAATCTAAATAGAAAGGAAAGAAGCTGCAGGTCACCCACTGATAAAAGTACCGTGAGCACCCAACATCTAAAAAAAGTCCAGCAGAAAAATGTTGCAAAAAGCAAAAAAATCCCAATTAAAATACAAGTTTGTTGTCACTGTAAACGATTAGAAATGTAATTACAAATAGAAACCCTGAAAACAGTTACATTTGAAAAATGAGAACAATAAAAACTCTACCTGAAATTATCTGTGATTATCTGCCATTCAAAAAGTATTAAAAAGTGTTTTCAATCATTAAAAAATATCAGAAATTATTAAGCTGTTATATGTTTAAAAATGAACAGATAACGATTTTTGGGTCACCAAAAAGTCGAGTATTACTTTAAAATTAAATTAGCATCTTATTTGGCAAAAAAGCTGACTTAATTGCAACAACCCACCTAACAGTGTTTTAAAGCGACGTTTTCCCAAAAAACTGATTGTCAATTTCAGTGGATGCCGTAATAACAAATGGAAACATAATTGGCCATTTTGAGCCTACCGCTATTAACTAAGGCAACGAATCCAAAGTTGGCTTCTGTTGATTGCGCAGTCGCTGCATAATCTACTAATCGACAACTTCTGGACGCACATTGGCTACGCAAAAATCGTTGTACGGTAATCCGCCAAATTTTTTCGATTCGTCAACGTTGACAACTGAGCAGAATCACAAAAACCAATCGAGAAAAAAGCGATGTGCAGATCTTCCAGCGTACACTTAGTTGAACATCAGTAGGCAGGGTAAAAGGCATACAGAATCAAGACAGAGACACATTTAGTGAGAAGAATAGTCAGCGCTATTCGCACTTTTGAATTCCCGCCTTGCACTCGCATCACAGCGCATCTCTCCTTCACAACAGTCGTTTGCTGTTAGGCGTTGACCCTGCGACAAGTGATGTTGTTTTTAGAACGTCTCTAAAGAACTCAGTTCACTGTTACTGCATTCAATTCACTGTTGCAGCACTTCTTTTTTTGATCATCAAATTCTGAAAGACTGCAGTAAAATGGCATTTCTGACATTTCCACCTTAGCGTTGATTCGCCCGAACAAGACATACAATTATAAAGAAGCTGCTGCTCCCTTAATGACAGTTGCGTCAGAAAAAAGAGCATAATGAAAGCCTAAAGTTTGTAAGTTTGAGTCAAACAACAGCACGTTCCTGGTTGTAAAAAAAGTTTAATCTACCTACAATTAGGATTGTTGCGAGAGGAGCACGATGATCATTGTAAGTCAATAGTCTAATGTTGTGATCCAGCCGAACAGCTGTCTCTAATGACGACAGACTGCTGCTTAAATTCAGCAAAAATTGATTTGCAAAAGAGTAGACACAGAAATATTGAGGAATACCGGGCTAAACTTGGTCATTCTTTAGTGCTGATAAGCAGATTGAATGCTATAAATGGTGTTAAGTACTGATATTAAGTACAGATAATACTTGAGCTCCATAAATATGCAGACAAAAATAATGTATAACAACATTCAAAAATCACAAATTGTACTCTGATATTGCTTCTTAATTTTGTCCACTACCACATCAAAAAAAAAAAGAAAAAAAACGACAAAATCTTACAAATTAGTACATCATACAGTACTAAAGTTATCGTTTACAACCCGCCCTCACCAGTTTACGGTCTTTGAAACATCCATTGCAGCTTTGGTAAAATTGGGGTGCAGAGTATCGAAGTAGAACCGCTGAACAACTTATACTACGAAGCGGACAAAAAACGTCAGTAAACCCTCTAGTTCCTCCCAATAACAGCTAATAGCTTTCAATCAAATGAAGTTTTTTCGGCACAACTTCGAGGCTGAACTATGAGAAAAGAAGATCCATTTTCATTGGTAATCAGTCTGAAATTCTGAAATTATTCTTCTAGTCTACGAGAAGACAAAAATTGACGAAATGGTTCATTAGACAGACTGAAAGTTACAGCGGTCCGCTTCACTCGTTTGCCCAATTTTCACTGCTTTTTTTCTCCTCCATCGTCTACAAGAAAGATAACCTTGACTTTAGTATGTCATACGATGCACAGTTTAGTTACTTAGCCTTACGGAGTAGTATCACTCAAAACAGTCGGAAACCAAAAATAAACCTGAAGAAGCAACATCTGGGTGATTGAACTACCGAATTAACGTTCGGCAAACTACAGAAACAAAATAAAAAATGATTGCTCCACTCAGTAAACCGTGCAGCTGACAAAGAGACTACTTTTTTTGTAACATGACTTGTATTTTAGCTGTGTAATATGTTATGGGGAAAAAAAACGAGCCCAAAAAGGTGGCGTATATGAAGATGTACTGAGAAATATCATCTAAATAAATGTTCAATAATGAATTTTTGTATAGACTAAAGTGATGGACAATGGATAACAAGTCAAAACTGACCAGCATTTTAGAAAGCTCAGTTGACCAGAAGTGTCCAACATGTAACTGGTGTAAGATCTGAAAACAACAAGACTTTTTGTTAATGCTAAATAACTTGGTGCTTCTAATCGGTATCAGTCAACCAGACATATAAGAGGCTGCAGATTAATTCTGTCTTTTAAAAATTCTTACAAGCGTACAAATAAGGCTTTTCTTGCAGCAAAAACCTTCAGAGGTCACACCTTTAATTAATCAAATAGTTCTTTTTCAGGAAATCACAAAACCTTTGATCAAAAAAGAAGATAGATAAATAAATAAAACTCTACTCTACAAACAAAGTAAAATTCTTTCCACATTTAAAATGAACAGTCAT